AAACACCTCCTAAAATTACACATTCAAAACCCCTTAATGATCAGCATGAGGCCTGAAAAAACAAGTATTTACATTAGTTTGGTGCTTTAATCTGTGACTCAATTAAGAAGTTGACTTAATTTACCTATAAAAGTGAAATTAGAGGATAAAGGCAAGTATTTCATAGTTTCACAGCAGCCAAATCCTTCCCTATGAGGCTAGAGAACAAGTGAATTTAGAGAAAGACTTACCTTGAGTGCCTTGAAGGTCTCCATGAACTTATCCAGTTCCTCAGGGGGCAGGAAGTCACCAATAAAATGTTTCCCTTTACCCAAATCTGTCAGAGATTCTGCCCACTCTGGAAAAGTACAGACAAGATGCTTTTTTACAGCAACAGTTGATAACTTCGCCTCGATGAGAACTGATTTTAAAAACTAACAGTTGCTGCTGATGCAGAAGTAAAACATTTTTCCTACTGATAGTCAGCCTTACCACGGGTCTTCTCCATTTCCTGTTTACGTAGGTTATGCTCCCAGGTGCCTGCATTCTGGTCCACTTCTTCATCACTGTCGTATTCATGTTGGTGCTCTCTGATGGCCTTCTCCCACACTATCTGCATCTCCGCCATCGCACGCTTGTGCTTCATGATCATGTCGTATATCTCTTGCATCTACAGCGCGTAGGAAAACATGACACACACCCACAGTTAACAGATTACATAGACTTATAATCAGGAATTCATGGCGTGATCCGCCAGTCATCAACATGCTATTCCACTTTTATAAAAGACACATTAAGTCAAAGCAATAGACAGACGTTCAATAAAAAATGTTTGTGATGGGTGTAAGTATATTTAAAAAACGCAGGGATGTAGATTTACATAGACGTTCATACATCTTGTTGTTCTTTGATTTGTATCTTCTGGTCATCAGATAGTTCTGTCACTCCCACCAGACCCTGAGGCTTCCCCTTCTTGTAACCAAGACCCATCAGATCCTGGACTGAAACACAAGTTACCACAAACTTATATATTCACAAAATGTATTATTAGGTCAGCTGATATAGTGGCTGAAATAGTACATTACAAATATGATATTAAAATCAATGCTTTGCGCAATTTTATAAAAATGTATAACAATAGAAGTACCAATTTAGGGAAAATATTTAAATTATCTTATATGCATATTGATATAAGCATGTATGGGTTGGAAAATATAAGGACAATGGTATGTAGAATGTAAATAGACAGGGTCACGCACCAGAGAGACATGGCATGTCAGGGTCTGCAACAGGAATGCACTGAGGAATATTGACGGGAGGAATGTGCATCTCCACTTTGTCGTCCTCAGACCCCCATCGACTCTTTCTCTTTCGTTTCACGGGCGGAGTTCCTGCCTCCTGAGTGTGGGGTTGAGAAGCCGAGTTCAGATGTGGAGGGTTTCCATAAAAAGCTGGAGCAGACGGCCGCTGAAGATCTGTCCCCGACTCTGCTGCTGGAGGGGAGGAGCTCTGCGAGGCTGCAGCACGATACTCCTGCAGTTTCTCTTTGTAGAGGCGGTGGGCTGGACTTCGATAGTCATATAAAAAACTGAGGGAGGGACAGAAGATATTATGTGTAAAAGCAGGTTTGTAAGAAAAACACAAAGCATAAAAAACACAGTGACACATATATGTTGACTGACCTGAAGGCGGGGTTTTCCCGGTTACGCTCAGCAGCGATGGCTTCCACTTCGGGGCCGCCCTCCGCCACAAACCTGGCCAGCTTCTCAGCCAACTGCTGGGTTTCCGCGTCCACTGGGGGGGAGACTTTAAGCAGCCTATCAGTACTGGGACTCAACTCACTCTCTACTAGTGTACCGTACTCAACTAGCCCTCACACACCAGCAGTCTAGAGCCAATAGGGGATAAGAAGAGGAGGGAGGGGCAAGGGGGAAGGGGGTGGTGAATAGGGAACTGTAATGATGTAAGGCTTTTACTGGAACAAATGAAGACCAGTGAAACTTCTCTGCATGTATAATGTTGTGCACAATTTCAAACCATAACATGTACTCTAATTTTAAATCCTTAATAGGACTCAATTAGGCAAAACATAGGGGTGAAAAATGTGGACAAATGAGTGTATATGTTAATTGACTGGCTAAAGTGTAGCTCTCTTACCATTATCCGACGCGTTACCAGGTCCTAGCAAATCTCTTCTCAATTCGGCAACTCTGTTTTTGTAGTAGAGAAACTCCATGCTGCTCTTATCATATAAAAATCTGAAAGGCAAAGATAACATTTGGAAGCAGGTTAGTTTAAAAATACTTTACACGTAAATACATCTGGGTCAGCTTCACTGTCCTTCAAACTTACGAGAAAATAGGATTGTCCTTGTAGTCTTCCTTGGCCTTTCTCTCCAGCTCAGCTCCTCCCTCTGCCACAAAAGAGGCCATCTTGTCGATAATGAGTCTGGTGTCTGAATCCTCTGGGGGGGAGACTTTAAGCAGGCTATCAGTACATTTACTCTAAGGGCACCCATGATAAAATGCCAGTAAAAAGGCACTGGAGTATGCAGAAGATGCTTTGAAATTACCAAGCAATAGAGTTGTCCAGAGAAAAAGGCCTTGAATTACCTTTCATTTCTAAGTATCTAGAGTAATCCTCCTCTTCCTCCTCATCATCCTCATCAGGAGAACAAAATACACTTGGCCTCTGGCTAAGAACAGGATTCTTCTTTGAGTGGGAGTAGTTTTTAAACTGACTAAGCATGCTACTGACTCCAAGGCCAGGCCGCTTGCCAACAAGAATGCTCTTTTTCTGCAGTGCGTTTCCTGCTGGCGATGAAGTCGAGGTTGTTGGAGTTTTGGTATCACTGGTAGGACCTGAACAAAGAGTAGGAAACAGGACAACTTAAAAAATAATCAGAACCTTCATTTAAAATGCATTATTTTGTATTATTTTTAAAACATGTAAGAATTGTTTATCAACCAGAACATTTGACAAGTAACAAATGTAAGTAAGTAATGCAAGGTAATGTCAGTGGTCCCTATTGGAATCAAATTGTATTGGGTCAGGATGTCCTCTTTAAAACAAACTGTAAAGCTGTTAAGGACTTATAGCAGACCGACTGAAGTTAATCAGTGTCTTAGAGAAGACAAAACAATACATTTACAATACAATACATTCTAGATACTGCGTTCCAGCATTCCTGTTGTTGTGTAGGTTTCATCATAGAACATTACAGTAATGCATTACTTTTGATAAGGATAAGATAAACACATAACAGAAACGTTTTGGTCAGAACTATGCAGATCAAAGTACTCACCACTGTTTGGTTTGTCCTTATGCATCCTTATGAACTGCTGTAGGAAGCTTCCATCATTTACAAACTTGTTTGAGGAAGGTCCTTGAAGGATGGGGAAACTTTGGGAAGAGAATGGATGAAATGTCAGGCCAAAGATGGTTTCAATAAGCCTTCAGATATAACAAAACTGACTGGAAGCACTAGATATAAACACTGTACTTAATGTGTGGTGAAAATCTAGGATGGAAACTTTAGATAAATCGATATCATCAAACAGTTATACTATCATGTATTCTGTTAAACTCTTTAAGTTATCACCCAAAGATGAACTTTTAACGTAAATATAAGTTAGCATTTTGGGCAAAACAACATTTGTTATGATTCAAGCCAATGCCTGAACAAGACACGGGTCGAATTATGAGATATATATCTAGTGAAGAAAGTACATTGTATTTCAGCAAAACATGTACAACATTTTAACAAGTTGTAATTATATTGTTACCTTTGAGGCAGGGGTTTGCTTGGTGTTTGCACGGTCACTTTTGCCTTTTCTGCCAATCTGGCCTCAATCTCCTTCTTCTTCTGAGCTATCAGCTTCTCTTGACGGAGAATATTCATATTCATCTTGCTTTTCTGTGGCTGGATAGGCTTGGACCTCCATCCTCCTCGACCTTAAAAAAAATCATAGATCAGCACACCAAAAGGCTTGTTAAACAGCTGGCGGTTCAGAGAGCACATGTAGTAGTGATATTTTTGTATATGTATCCTGTGAAATTTGACCCAATTCAAGGTCATAAGGGTTTTGGATCATTTATTATACGACACAGGGTTGCAAAGGAAAATGCAAATTGTACCTAAATAAAAAACAAGATATAACAAAATGCACTTTGATAATAGAGAACAATTTACTTTATTTTATTACTGGATATTACTAAGTAATAGTATTCTTCAACGTTTGTATTGCAGACTAGCATACAGGAAAGCTTTGTTTTTAACAAATAAAAAACATACAACTTTAAAGCTGATATGAACTAGGGAAAGCGATGTTATCATATTAAATGTAGATACTAAATGTTGCAAAACTAAGTAGATATATTAGTGTCGTATTAGTTACGTACACATATTTCAATATGTCTTATGATTCGTAACGTTTCCCAGTTTATGTTACCCGACAGCTAGCCAATGGTTTTCAATGATTACGCCAGGAAGCAAGCGTTTATACTGCTACAGCTAACAGCTAACCTGGCTAACGTAAGTGTTTAATAAGGGCAGCTGCTACATAGTAAGCGTAAGCATCACAGTGATATTCACAGTTAAGATGTACCTGCATCGCCAGGTTCCATGGTCGTAGCTGGAGAACAAATATATTTGGGAAAATACGCTCACGTACTACAAAAAGGCCTTTCGCTGCTACAGTCCTAGCTCTTTGGTAAAGCTGAATCCTCTGACTAAAACAAAACTTCCGGTCGTAAATGTACCAGATTAAAAGCATCGAGACAAGGATCTCTACAATCCACACGAGTCCAACGACACTGACTAAACTACTGACTATTTTTACATAGTTATATCATTAGACTCTACTATTCCATTATAATCTCTATAATTTCAGCTCTAAAGGACACATTTTCTTTTATTTACATAATTTTATTTTTTAAAGCAATTTTAAACCGGAAGTATTTTCCTCGATAATTCTTTCTTCCTGCCATGGTTAACATAACGTATTTTTCCGCTGCAAGAGTCAGGTTTAGTTGTCCCTTGTTGCTATCCGTCCGTATCCTACGAACTAGCCTCCTGCTTAGAAATGGCTGAAGCTCCCCCACGGCCCTGCCGGTTTTTTTGTCACCGGTGTTCCGCAGAAATCAGCCCGCGCCTACCGGTAAGGCCCCATATACCTGCTCCACTAGTGAGAAATTATATTTGTGTGGTTGTATGTGTTTGTTGCGGACAACCAGTCAAATAGACCCAATGCTGCTGTTTAGCTACGCTAGTTAGCTAGCCCCATAGAAAACAACGGTCCAGAGTGACAGTGAAGTGGTTGTAATTTAGTTGGTGGTACACTCACGTTTAATCTTGTGTTTTTTAAACACATCCTTTCAGCTATATGGTGGTATTGTTAAGATCAGCTAGATCCCACTCATAACAGCTGAACATATTTGTAGCGTTTTACTTTAGCACCTTGCTAGCTAACAGAAGTAAGTGTAGATTCACTTTCTCAATCACATCTTACAGGACGTTTTGGTTTCGATGTTATGATGTTCAGGCTGGTAATAAAACACGTTTCATTTAAATGTCTTTCACATAAGTCTTGCTCTGTTTATTATGGTTGTCCCTCAAATATAAGTACATTTTTCACAATAGCTGCCCTATCTAGTCTCAGTCAGTCAGTATTGCTGCTGCAGTAGTAACACAGCCATTCATGGGAAGCTTCTTGAATGTTACAGTAACAGTATCTTTATTGGCAGTACGTCAGCTGTTTACCTGTGTGACAACACAATGTCACCATATTGTATTTATTAATTAGAAGTGCTCACAATGTGTTATTAACAGCATGTCACTTAATGTATTGTCAGTGAGTCATCTGGAAATGTGGCCATCATTCTTAACCTAAACATAGGCATTGTCTGCACTTCACAGAGACACATGTTTATAGGAAAGTATGTATTTGAAATGTTTTGAATATAATATAATCAGTTGCCATTTTATTATCTTATGTGTTCACCTACATACAACTGCAGTCTAATACAAGATATTTCCTAAGTGTGTAGTATAGTATTTTGGGGCGTCATTACTGCCAAATACTGAAACATATATTTACTATTTTGTCAACCCCATTTATATCAGTTATGGTAGATTAAATATTATAAACACCTCTCAGTATAACAACATACAATTCATAAGCAGCACACAGATTCTTTAAAATGACTATTAAGTTGAATTAGCACTTCTCTAACTGTTATAACCATAATAAGGATAGCCTTTTATGCTGAGCTGTTGAATAAAGGTGCACGTTTTGGTTAGTTCTATCTAATAACAGTTATGTTGTGTACATTCCTAATATTTACATTTGTATTTTCACGTTAGGACTACACCTGTCCACGCTGTGATTCAGGTTTCATTGAGGAGCTTTCTGAGGAAAGAAGGTATGGCTGATAATTGTGTGTCTCACGAATTTGATTAGTATAAAGTATATTTCTGAGTCTTAGCGTTGTACTTTCTTCCCCACTCCTCATCTGTATTTATGCAGTACTGATAATGGGTCCGCATCCACGTCCTCCAGCAGCGATCAGAACCGCCCAGCCTTTGAGGTCAGTGTGAGTTGTTGAATCAGCTGGTCCAGGATACATAATCGCCCTGCACTGTGTTTTGACATTGCCTCTGTCTTCTCTTCTAGAGCATGGATCACCAACAATTGTTCACATTCCCCTCTGGGTACGGTCCATTTGCACTTGGGATTTTCGATGAAAACTTCGACCTTCGAACGCGGCTACCCACAGAGGACAACAGAGAGACAGAAAACAGGAGGGAAAGGGAAATGGCATCGCGGCAACGATACAGTGCACGGCAACCGCGGGGTCGACATGTTCCTCGAAGACAGGGTACGCGCCATGAAGGAGTGCCCACATTAGAGGGGTGAGACTTTTTCAGCAGTAGTGTGTATTGTAGGTTGTTTTGGGACTAGGGAGAATACAGGAAAACATTAGCTGCTAATGTGTAATGCGTGCTTTATATGTTATGTAAACTAGATTAAACACCATTATTTCCAGTTTTAGAATATGGTGACATTATACATTTAGATGCATTTAACATGGAGAACCTTCCTTAACAACAGTTATGTTATTCTTCGTAGTACTATATTAGCCTATTATCTAGTATTACCATTTTAAAAACAAAGAACTACTATTCCTATAAAGAACAAATGGCACATATCCAGTAGTACCATTTGTATAGAGTATTAATGTATTGTTATGATCGTAAAACTATTAATAGATAGTTAGATACAAAGATGTTCCATATGTGCAATTTAGATAAGAAGACAATTGGAATTTCTTCAGGTGTTGAAAGTGTTGTTTTTTTCCGGTTACAGGATTATTCAGCAGTTAGTAAATGGAATAATAGCACCTACCGCCATGCCAAATATGGGGATGGGACCATGGTAAGTGTAACTCTCAGTAACTTTGATGCACTTTTGTTAACTTGTTTTATATTATTGATTTAAAAAAAATATATATATCTGTAGTTCACTACTTCCTTGTCTTGCAGGGGTATGCTACATTCTAATCCAATGGATTACGCGTGGGGAGCCAATGGACTTGATGCTATCATTACACAGGTATAAAAAGGGTTTTATACCATTTTTTTTGTCATGACAGTGGAGAAAATACTGAATATCAGTTTGGCGGCAACAGTGTCTGAAAAACATTTTCAAGAGCTCCCAAAATAGTACTATTTATAATATCATACTTATTATTTGAATACATTAGGGGCCGACCGATTATCGAGGCCGATATTCCGCATTTTACAGATTATCGGTATCGGCCTTTTTTTAATCAAAGCCAGAGAGGGACCTTCTCAGATTACAGGCAGGTGCGAAGAACGCAGACACAGACAAAGGCAAGCAGCAGCAGCAGTGAGCGGTGTTTCGAAGGTAACTCATTTGAAAGCCGAAATTCAATAAACATCCCAATCCCCTATGCTGAAGTAGCAAAAGCACCTCAATTTTATGCTCCAATTCTATCAGTTCCCTTTTTACTGGTTTATTTCCATCATTCACCACACGATATTATGGTTTACACAATACCTTTTGCTTGTTTGTAATCCCGTGTTTGTATGTGTGCTCCGTGTGTGTGTGTTCTCCGTGTGTCGTCCGTGTGTGTGTGTTCTCCGTGTGTGGTGAATGATGGAAAGAAACCGGTAAAAAGGGAAATAAATGGACTTTTTAGAACTGGAAACTTTGTTTCTGACTTTTATTCGGTAGCAAACTTTGTGTGCGTCAATTACAAACAAAAGCGGATCCTCAGAGGCTTAAAGCGTTGGCTTAGCCTCTACATATAGTCAAAAACTGTATGGCCTTCCGGCGGAACCTCTCACCAACAAACATAGGTTCCTACCTTTATACCCACAGTGTTAATTGGCTCCTACAGTATGTTAGGTTGATATTGATATTTTTTTTGATAGTGGATGTCTAAAAGTTGTCATTCACAGAACAGCCTTGTTGTCATGCAGTTGATTTCACATCCATTGCGATAATGCTTTTTTCCCTTGTAGTTATTGAACCAGTTTGAAAACACGGGCCCGCCTCCTGCAGACAGGGAACGGATAAAGAGTTTACCCACAGTGACCATCACAGAGGAACATGTGGGTAAGTCCACGTCTCTCTCTCTTACAGTTACTCGCTCATGTGCTGTGTCTACATTCCTATCCTACCTTATTTAGACAAGCTAAGTAAAATAACTTCACAATGGCACGTATTGCTAAATGCAGATCACTGTGAGGATGGTGCAATAATAATAATAGCCAAAAAGAGGACGTGGAACACTGGCATTTCTCTTCATTAATTGTAGCCTTTTAGTCTGAAGGGGAGGGACCATTAAACTTAAGAAAGCTGTAAACACTGCACTCAGTTTTTTACAATTGTCAAGTGAGCAAACGAGCCGGCAGATATTTCCAGAATCGTGGTTTAGACAATCAACACGGATACCCTGCATTACCCTGTCGAAATGCTAACTCTACCCACGCAAGTACAAAGTGCACACAATGTACTACATGGAAGTGTACAGAAGTATCCAAATTGATACACAGTAATTATCTCTCAACCATCCTGCAACAGCTTTTTTGACCAATCTGCCAGAACGAAACAGAAAAATTCTCCCTATGATCAGTGTAGTTTTTCGTATTGGACTGGCACAGGCTGTCAGCTTTTCAATAACGGTATTTTCTCTATAACGAGAACAAGGCTAACAACAAAAGGTGACTCTTACAATTTCCTTTTTTCATTGCATATCATTATCCCAACAGACAGACTAAAGTGGGATGAATTCTGCATTTATTTGTATTTATATGTGTAGTTCTTCTTGTGAGTGCTTCTGAAGAACTTGAATTTAATCTTTGCAACACTGCCTGAATTCAGATACACAGAGCCAGTGTGACCAATTCTTTCGATGGCGGTTATCTCACACGGACAGACCGATGACATGTGGTTTTCTGTTTGTGCAGGTGCTTGTTTAGAGTGCCCTGTGTGCAAAGAAGACTACAGCGTGGAGGAGAATGTTAGACAGCTGCCTTGCAATCATCTGTTTCACAATGCCTGTATAGTGCCATGGCTGGAACAGGTACGTGCATCCCCAACATTTATCTTTTGTTTGGTATCAGCTACTTCCAGCTATAAAGCCACATTTGTGTGAGATAGTTTGTTTATTATAACCGTTGTGCTTTGTGAAAACATCTGACGCTTTTCTCAACGTGCTGCAGTGTGAGCAAGTAAACCGCAGGGCGACACAAATAAACAGCAGCCTGCATTTTCTGTTAAATGTATTTGTAGTGACATTATGCAAAAAAAGCAGCAATGCTTTGGGTTAAACAAACTGATGCGTCACCTCCAGTTTTAAACATACAGTGGGGAAAAAAAGTATTTAGTCAGCCACCAATTATGCAAGTTCTCCCACTTAAAAAGATGAGAGAGGCCTGTAATTTTCATCCTAGGTATACCTCAACTATGAGAGACAAAATGAGAAGAAAAAATCCAGAAAATCACATTGTCTGATTTTTAATGAATTAATTGGTAAATTCCTCGGTCACCTACAAACAAACAAGATTTCTGTCTCTCACAGACCTGTAACTTCTTCTTTAAGAGCCTCCTCTGTCCTCCACTTGTTAACTGTATTAATGGCAACTGTTTGAACTCGTTATCAGTATAAAAGAAACCTGTCCACAACCTCAAACAGTCACACTCCAAACTTCACTATGGCCAAGACCAAAGAGCTGTCAAAGGACACCAGAAACAAAATTGTAGACCTGCACCAGGCTGGGAAGACTGAATCTGCAATAGGTAAGCAGCTTGGTGTGAAGAAATCAACTGTGGGAGCAATTATTAGAAAATGGAAGACATACAAGACCACTGATAATCTCCCTCGATCTGGGGCTCCACGCAAGATCTCACCCCGTGGGGTCAAAATGATCACAAGAAC